TAGTTTGCCAATCTATTACAGATATGGCTTTAAGTCTAAACATCCAATTTCTCACGAACCATAATATATTTGCAAGTACTTTGCAAGAGACCTACAATTCTTATACTCTAYGTCTATCTATACAAGCCCTTATAATATCTGGCAAATTTCTATGCTGACTCCTCGAATTTGCTAGCTGAAGCCTTGGAGCTTCTTGAGGGCATTGATTTGGCTTTGGCTATTGGTATATTTCGTATTGAGTGTTATGTTGATTCTTGGATCCTTTGTAGGGTTCAGTTACAGCTCCCTTGCAACGTAACCTTTGGTTGGTATGAACAACTAAATAATACGATTTAGAGACTTGATTCTTTCACTTGTAGTCATATCCTTTGGGAAGGCAACCAGGTAGTGGATGGTCTTACAAATATGGCTTTCTTCACTAGATCTAATTCCATCTTTGTTCATGAAGATCTTCTTCTTGCAGATATTCAGCATCATATCGGCTTTGTTCTGATAGATTGGGTCTCCCTTTTCTTTAGTTGGCTTAATTTGAGGTATTTAGGGGTAAATTCTCTTTTGTATGTTCATGTATATATTTATATATGTTTATTGATCCCTATTGTATATAGATTTTCGCTAGGGTAAGGTATTTAGGTCCCCCCCTCCCACCTCATAGATTTTTTCTTGCCTATGAATAAAGCCTTACGGTGCCCCCTTCCACTAGGAGTTAAGTTTAGGGTTTAAAAATAATTATCTGGCCAATTTATATAGGACCTGTTGAGGTTCTAGAGCACAGATTGTAAAGTCTATCAATCAATGTTAAGGCCCCATTCATTTTTTAGGATTCTGAAAGGACGGAAGTCAGTCAATAGGATTGTGGTTCCCAGTAACCATTTTTCCCCTGCTTGTTTTTGATGTTCATGTTCATCTAAGACTCACAAAAAATTCGCTTTCCCCAAGGGGGCATTCATTTTTCAGATTTTGAGAGGGGGGAAAGTTGGTTCCCATTGATCAAGATTCCCATATTCTTTTTTCCTAGGTAAGTGGTGCCCATCTCCTAAGTGAGTAAATAACTTTTCCACCTAAGGGGAAAGTTGCCAAAACTTGAATGGGACAAAAATGTCATTTTTAAAAATAGATTTTTATGACTAAAATGATCATTGTCTCATTTACATGAGAAATAAAAGAATATGGGTAAATGCACTTACTCCGGTAAGTGTTTCCCAGGAAAAATTTAGCTAGCTAACTGCATTTACCCAGGTAAGTAACTTACCTAAAAGCGAACGAGGCCCAAGTATCATACCCATCCCCCAAGTGGATAAGTAATTTTTCCACCTAGAAGAACATTTGACAAAATGTATAGAAACAATTTTATCCATTTCAATGATTATATTTTATGGATAAAAGAGCCATAGTATAATTTACCTAAAAACTAAAAGAACATAGGTAAATTCACTTATTACCTAGGTAAATAACTTTTTGAAAAATAAATGAGGCCTAAATAGATTAACTTTTTCTTGACTCATTTTAAAAATGAGGGAATGCTCTTTTCATGGTGGAGATCAGCTCTAACTATAGAAATAGTTAGCTCCTTTCTTGGCATATCACTACTGAAAAGTAGCCATCTCCATTTAGCAAGTGCTCTTACAGCTCTCTAGAACCTGTTCTAATCCACATAGCCTTTTCCATGATATCTTTCATGGCTACTGGAGGGGGCTCTCCTCCTAAGTATTAGACCAACATGTCAAAAGCCCTAGCACTATATTGGAGTTCATGGTGCCGATCATTTAACACTAGGGCTGTTCATAAGAAGGCCCAACCCGACCAAACTGACCAACCCGGGCCGACCCAACCCGAGTCGGCCAGGTTTTCATCAGCACCGGTCAGTTTCGGGTTGTACAAATTCATAAACCGATGGTTCGGGTTGGTTTCGATTTTCTTGTGTGAAAACCGAAACTGACCCAAACCGAATTGACTTAGTTCCTACTTAACTAAGTTGCCTCTATCCTAATTCCTAATTACAACCTAACCTAGTCTTCTAGTTCCTACTTAACTAAGTTGTCTAATTGTCTCTATCCGAGTTTCTACTTTCTATAGTCGTTTACACCAAATAGGCAACCAATTAGGCAATTACATTTAGAAATAGGTGTCCTTTTTTTACTTAGATTAGAACTTAGAAAGTTTCTAGAAATATACAAATTTCAGCATTCTTTCTATGGATCAGTTTGACTTTCTATTTTCTTGATAATTTCTGTCTTCTATTCTAATTCTAACTTGGTCCGCCCCCCTAGCCCCTCAACTCAAGCACAATCTTTATTCTCTAATACAATATTACAATTTGACTCTCAACTCAAGAATCAAAAATTTAAAATTTCAAGTTCTCATCTCAACTTCAAAACATCATTTGAACTTGGCTCTCCCAACTCTCATCTTCTCAAAGTTCTCATTCTCCCAACTCAAGCTCAAGTCTCATTCTCAAAGTCTCAACTTCAGTCATTCAAAGGTTAGTATTTTATTTATTTATTTATTTTTAATTTAATGCATGTTACAAGTTGATATATTTTATTTGTGTATTGTTTAAGTTTAAGTTTTGAAAAAAAAAATCCGGTTAATGATGATATATTTGCATAAAAAACTTCAGTTTTGTATGAAGAAGTGAAGAACCTAATCTATTTAAATATATATTTCGGTTTTAATTTAAATAAACTTTATATTTAAAATTATTAAATAAAGATATTTCAGTTTACATAAAAAGCTGAAATATCTGAAAAAATCTATATCTAAAAAGTATATATTCTGAAATATGTGAGATATATATTTTCAGAAAATATATATTCCAATATATTTGTATGTATATTTTTGTTTATATATATATATATATATATATATTTAAAATACATATTTCAGTTTTAAATATATTTCCAGAAAATATCTTAAAAACTTCAGTTTTCAGTTTTGTATGAAAAACCTAATCTATTTAAATATATATTTCGGTTTTAATTTAAATTTATTTTATATTTAAAACTGTTATATATAATATGTGTATTTCCGAAATATATATATATACTATGTATCTTTATATTATTATATATTTCAGCTTTCATTTTTAAATATATTCCAGAAAATATATTCTGAAATTTTATATATAATAAGTATATTTCTGAAATAAATAAATAAATATTATATATATAAAACTGAAATATAGTAATATATATCTGAAATATAATATATATATATTTCCACAAATATATATCTGATATATTTCGGAATATATATTTTTCATATATATATTTGAAATGTAGTAATAGATATTTATAGTAATTTCATAATTTGCACAAAAACTATATATTTTTACTGAAATATATCAGATACATATAATATCCGAATATATATTTTCAAAAATATATTATATATATTCAGAAAAATGTTTTTATTATTTTATATATTTCAGTTTTATTGATGTTAGATAAAAAAATAACATATATAGTTTTTTATTATAACCAATTAGTTGTTTTTTTCTTAATTTGTTACATTAGGAATGTTCATCTTGAGAAACTCAATAATAATTATAAATTTATATTGGTATTTTGTTTTTAGATGGATCCTAAAATAAATGAAAATGTGCATGGGATTTATGAAATTGAAGATCCAGTAGCAATGGGCTCAAAGCAACTAGATTCTGAGGCTACAAATCCGGTAAAAAATCCCCTTGCTCCTCGTAAAATTACTAGGACATAGCCCACTAAACAAAACAAAAGGCAAGGTTCTAGATTAAAATCAGAAATTTGGGACCATTTCGCTAAATTGGATGATAAGGATGAACCTAGGGCTGCATGTCACTATTGTGGCAAACACTACGCATGTGACACAAAAAATCATGGCACTAGTAACATGTGGAGTCATTTGCAACAAGAGTGCATGAAATATCCCTATAAGGTTGATAAAAGGCAAATGATATTATCTTTTGAGCCTAAAAATGAAGGAGGAGAAGATGGTTTCACTACTGGTAAGCTAAAAATAGTGACTTTTAGTGTTGAGGAAGCTAGAAATGAGCTTGCTAAAATGGTTATAATTGATGAATTGACTTTTAGGATTGTGGAGGGGGAAGGATTTAAGAACTACTCTCAAGCTTTGCAACCTAAGTTTACAGTCCCATCCCGTATCACAGTTTCTAGAGATTGCATGAAAATTTTTCTTGAGGAGAAGATGAAACTGCAAAAAGTGATGAAAAGTCAACGTATGTCTTACCACTGATACTTAGTCATCAATCCAAAATTTAAATTATATGTGATTGACAACACATTGGATTGATAGTGAATGGAATTTGAACAAAAAAATTTTGAACTTTTGTCAAGTTCCTAATCACAAGGGAGAAACAATCGGTAAGACTATTGAGGATGGCTTGCTAGAATGGGGCATTGATGAAATTTTTACAATTACTGTTGATAATGCAAGTTGTAATGATGGTGTAATTAGATATTTAAAAAGAAGAACTAGGGATTGGAAATGCACCATCTTAGAACATGAATTCATGCATTTAAGATGTTTTGCTCATATTGTGAATTTA